ATGTTTTAAAGATCTAAGAACCTGGTGGGCCTGGTATATGAAAATACATTATTGTAATATTGCTTTGATTCTCAAAAGAACTTTTTATTTCTCAACTTATATTATCTTTTTTTTTTCTCATGCCTTAATGCTGATATACATATAAAACATTAGATGTGCTGTATATTACTATTCAAAAGTTTTGTCGCAATAAGATTGATTTTTTTTTTAAAGAAGTTAATACATTTATTAAGGCTGTGTTGAATTAATCAAAAGTGACAGTAAAGATCTTTACATTGTTACAAAAAAACTTTCTTTTGAACTTATAATAAAAAATATAACATTCCAGAAACATAATAAGCATATTAGAACAATTTCTGAGACATACGACTTAAGTATTAGCTGCTGAAAATTGAGATTTGCCATCACAAGAATAAATTACCTATTAAAATCTATATAAAATAGAAAACAGGTATTTTAAAAGGTAGTAAGATTTCACAATATTACTGTTTTTAATGTATTTTTAACCATAGAAATGTTAAGAATATCTTAAAATATTAAGACATTTTAATGACACAAGACTCTTGAACAGTGTCTGTATGTGTATGTGTCACAACCTATACATCTAACAGACCAATGTTTGCATTTGAGTAAAGAGTAAAGTACTCTATGAATGTGGGTCTGTTTTCACAGTGTAATCCATCCTTCCAGAGGAATTAACAGCAGCTTGACCGTCTGAGGATAAGCAGGGCTAAAATATCGTCTGTTGTACCTTTAGCATTATATTAATACCACAGGTTTAAAGAATAACCAAGTCAGTACATGCCAAGTCAGTGCATGTAAATGCTGCTTGACATAGCTATGTTTATTGATATGTTATGTTGTTATGAACCTATGCTTTAGATTATAAAGCAGGTAAAGCCAAGTCAGGTCGCATTGTAGAAGATCTATGAACCTTAATAAACACCTCATGGATATATATTGCATCCACGTGTTAGCAGAAACTTGATCTACGTACAACAGCACATGGAGGATTCTTGACGACACGTGTGTTTGGGGATAAATGAACCATAGCATCCTTGAATAGTTCCAAACATGTTACAAACATGGTATTTGTATATGAATTAAATCAAAAATAATGAATGGTAAAGTTTTATTTAACTCATATATATATATATATATATATATATGAAGAGTTCAGATGCAAAAGCCTCTAAATGCCATTTGAAATTTTCTTCTTTAATGATGATTTTTATGAAACCTGTATATTTAAGTTCAGTAATTTCACTTATATAACAATTAATAGGTAATTATCATTGCCATTTAAGTGAAATTACTGAACTTAAATATACAAGTTTGATAAAAATCCTCATTAAAGAAGAAAATTTTAAATGGCATTTAGAGGCTTTTGCATCTGAACTCTTCATATATTTTATAAAATTGTGGAAAAGTTTCTATGACATCTACCATTATGTCATAGCTTTTCATTTCTTATTTGAACTGATCAACTTGAACAAGATGAATGACAAAGTTTTGTAAAGTCAGCAAAAAGACAATGCAGACCTATAGATTATGGTCCCAGACAAACTTAAAGTATGAAATTAGAGGTCTTAGAGGTCTGGGCCTTCTGCTGAGTTCAGTCAGACAGAACCACAGCGGCTTCCCTCAGTACCAGTATGGGTGGAACTTAGGATCAGTCCCACTCGACTAGCTAGAACCCCTCCACATGCTCACTAAACAAAAACACAGTCTTTTGTTGCCCTTAGGAACAAATCTTTTCACGAGTTTGAATGAACCAAATGACACGAAAAAAGATTTGTTCATTTTGATAAACGAGTTTGAACAGGAGAGTCACGAACGCACATCACAGAACAGAGCAAGGCGACCATTTGAGCTTATAAAACTTAAACTTATTATTTTTTTTTAGTATTATTGTATATTACAATTTGTATTATTGTTATTATTATTATTATTATTTTTTTAATGAGCGATCGTTTTGCTTGATAAGACCCTTATTCATCGTCTGGTTGTCGTTTAAAGCTCTTTGAACAGTTTTCAGTTTGCACTGAAACTGTCTTTTGGAGCTTGAACCGTTTGGTGCCCAGTAAAGTGCATTATATGGAGAAAAATCCTGGCATGTTTTCATCAAAAACCTTAATTTCTTTTCGACTGAAGAAAGAATGACATGGACATCTTGGATGACATGGGGGTGAGTAAATTATCAGCAAACGTTTTTTTTTTTTTAAAGTGAACTACTCCTTTAACATTCAGACTGCAGGAGACCAAAGAAGATACTAGACTTCCTTGCATGTTCAAAGACTCATAAGAAACATCCAGAGAATTTTCACAGAACACAAGATGGATTGCTGACTCCAAGCCAATCTGATGCATTAGTGCTGGGGGGGAAAAAAGAGTTTTTTTTTCCCTCATTATATCAAAACATTAGGAATTGAAATGTGTATTAAATGCGATATGTGTGAAATGTGATATGTGTACTTTTGAAGAATAAATCTGATGAACAAATATCTTAGCTGTGATGTGTATGAGCATACAAAAATAATTATTTTAGAATATTCAGAAATGAATGCAAATGGTGATTCTTCTTGAATCTTTTGGATTCCATGTTAAACCAGTAATGTGAATGTTGGTGCTGGTAATGCATTCTTCAGATAGCATTCAGTAACCATTAGCTATAGGTATTTGACGTTGTTTTATAATGCTCAAGTACAATGCCTGTTATCACTGTGAAGCTGCTTTGAACCGATCTATATTGTTAAAAGCGCTATATAAATAAAGGTGACTTGACTCAAGTTGTTGTTTTTATATTGTTTTCAGCAACATTTGTTGAAAGACCATCATCAAAATTCAAAATTCCTTATGATATGAAAATATTGTTTCAAATTTACACAATGTACACAAGAGAAGAATCGGGGGGAAAAATCCCATTAACTTTTTTTAGGGCCTGAGCACAGTGCGAGGACCCTATTGAAACTGTTAGGGTTATTATTATTTTATTTATTTATTTATTTATTTTTTTTCTGCAAAGTAAGCGCCATTTTCGGGGCCAGGTGTTGTCAGGACTGGTGAAAAATTTTGTATTTTGTGGGTTTCGCGGATGGGCGGGGCAAAATGGCTCGCTAGCGCCACCTACAACCTACATGCACGAAATTTGGTGGGGATGTGTATCATTTCAAGACGCACAAAAAAGCCTCAAGAAACAATACCCTAAACTCGACAGGAAGTCCGCCATTTTGAATTTGGCGACCGATTTGGGACGATTTATACACTCCGTACTTTAACGAACTCCTCTTAGGGATTTAGTCGGATCGACTTCAAATTTCTGCTGTGCCTTCTAAAGGCATTGACGATGTAAAGTTGTGCTATCTGCGTGTTTTCGTCGATGGGCGTGTGTGTGGCGTTGATGATTCGCCATGAAACAGGAAGTTGTAGTAACTTGGCTGTAAATGCCCAGATTTGCACGAAATTTTACAAATTTGACAAGAGTCCCACCCTGAACAAATCTACATGCCGACATTCACCCACAGTCATAGCGCCACCTAGTGGCAACAGGAAGTGACCTTTAACGAAGCAGAGTAGCAAATGCACAGCCGCACCTGCTGAGCTGCAAAATATGCAATGCGGCCGCCTCACACCCCGACGCGCTACAGGTGCGAGGGCCCGCCCATCGCTGCTTGCAGCTTTAATTTTTAATTATTTTTTTGTCATGAAAAATGCTCTCAATAAATATTATTTAGATTATCAGCATCAAAATATGTATATGAAAAAAATGCCAACAACAGTTCCGTTTGCATTCAACAAAGTGATGATTTGTGCGGCACCCGTTAACACATAAACACATTTACATAAGGAAACAAAACAATCCTGTTCTGGTTCTGGGACATTGTACATAGCGTTCGGAAGCCATAAAACTACTGACGCTCTACAGCCACATCACAGCCAGATTCTGGGCTTTGTGGTCTCGCTCTGAGAACCATCTCTAAATACGAGAGTGCCACAGGACATTCTGTTCTCAGCTCGTGCTGTGAAGGCTCCAATCAGAGCTGAAAGAGATATCCCACAATCCTTCATCCTACTGCGCTCAAACCGAGCTTTTTGTTTTTTTGTACGCCATCCAAGAGTTCAAAGTGTTACCCTCTGGTGAGACAGCAGAGAAGGCGCTGTTATGGAAAGGAATGAGTTTTTGAATTCACTGCCACCTGTAGTTTACACATGGAGAACGTGGCTACCAGCTGCCAGTTGCTTTAGATCTTGTTCTGTGAATACAATGGCACAGTTTCAGCTGAGCACATGACAGGGCCGCGTCTGAACGATGCTGTTTTTCTCATAGCCTGCAAACACGCCCGTGACCCTCCCCAATTACAGCAGGGGGGCATCTGAGGACAAGGAGAGGGCCTCCTCTCGTCTCTTTCATCACATATTGGGCAATTGCATCACGGACGTTCCCTTTGCTGAAAGAGTATACGGGAGAATTTTTATGGATAGATAGATACATGTGAGCCCGCAATGACACATCTGACGTGGATACAGCTGTCTGATATTGTATGTGCACTATTATTTTCTTCGAAACAAACGCTTTTTGTCTTATTTTCTATATAAACAAAGTTCTTTATTTAAAATTATGTTAGATATTTTTGAAAAACATAAACCTAAAAAAAGCATTCTGCTAAACATTGAGATAAAAACAAATACATTTTATTTAAGCTATGAATAACAGCTAATTGTTCTTTGTTATAATGATATTTAGATATTTTACTGGCAGAAAAGGACCAAAATACTGATTAACAAAAGGTTTTTCACTGCACGATGAGATTCATAGACAACATTTTGGAGGGATTGAGTTGTTTCCAAGAATGTTCTGTCAAACTTACAAAACTAAGCTGATGAATTCCTTTATGGACAATAAAAATAGTTCCAAAGTGTGTGCTTGTGTGTGTGAGGGAGTGATGTGATGTCAACAAATGCTTTTAGCATGACCACTTCATTGGCTTCTGTCTCTGCAGGATAATGTAGAACGAGCTGCCAATCACAGACAGGCAGATCTGATTGGACCAAGTTTTCAGCAGTCAACCAATCAGAATTCAGCTAGATATCAAGGTCAGTAAATTTTCATGTGCACTTCATAAAGTTCTTAAAATAAGATTCCCTGGCTATAATATTTGTAATGACAGTAAAAAAAATTGTGGTTCTGGTGTTTTTTTTCTTTTTCTTTGTTCTTAATATCCAAAACAGAAGAGTTTTTAATAGATTTGCGGAATTGCTCATGGTTTAACAACAAGTTTGTTTGTGTGTACATACTTGATTATGGGCGGGGGCCGTCTGTCTCACACACTTGGACTTGAGTTGGGGCTGTCTGTCGTAGATGCCTTTTATGGTTGGAGACTTGCTCATTAAGTTCAAACTGGGATCTATATTCAGGCCTCTTCCGCTGTAAACACCCCTACAGTTCAAAGGCTTGATTTGTAAAGACACAGGGTGCCACTCATTAAGCCGCCAACCTAATTGTGCAATACAAAAATACAGAGGCATGATATTTGGAGCATGAGATTTAAGCACAATATCGCCTCAGCATGGGAGGTAGAGCCTGAAGTTTTTTTTTTTTTTCTTCCTGAAAGTCTGATGCTGTCATTGAAGTAAATGGAGCAGAAATTCTCATTTAGGACTTCTCAGAGTACGCCGTGAATCCTCACAGCTGTGCTAAACTCTTGGTTGTAATAATTTAATACCCCTTAATATTTCATTTGTTCAGTGGTCTTTGTCGAACACAGTTGCTTTATTTTCTGTTGGTTTCTGGATTTTTAAACATGGTTCTGTAAACATTTCTTCAGATTATTAACCGACCACTATTATCACGTCTAAAGGGGATGAATGAAAAATAGCGAAGCATGTTCCCATGCCTGTTCTTTGACCCTGCCATTTTCATACTCCATTGAAAACAACAAACTGTGACAACAAAGGTCTTATTTTGGGATGCTGGAATACAGCTAAGAATAGATGAGAAGCATTTGTTTGTCAAATCTCAGATTGAGGCCAGAAATATATGAAATATTTGTTGTTATAATATTTTGATTGTGGCAATGATTTTCAGGTCGGTATAATCTCTACTGTCAGGTTATGTTTATCACTAATAATTCACTTGGAACAGATGTATTTCACAGCAAATCATTGCCTTGTATTCTACCTTTTGGATATTTATTTGTACTTTCTGCTGTGATATGGAATGAATTAATATATCCATATGAACTTGACTGGTACTTACCTTTGGTCGGACAGAAAATCTGCCCGTACTGTGATTGATCATTATATATATTGAGCAGACAACTCCATCATGGCACGGGCAGCTCTTGCCAGAATAAGCTGCAATATTCAGAAGAGTTCATGCCTCATGCCAGTGATCAAAAATCTGACTTTGTGTGACTACACCAGAAGTGACTGTCCTGTCCTTCTTTAAAAGCTAAATGAAAAAAATGTAAAAAAAAAAAAAAAAAAAACAAAAAAAAAAACAATATTGACTTAAATCTATATTAATATAGGTTTAATATATAAATCTACTTTAATTATATAAAACATACTTAAAGGGATAGTTCACTTTGAAATTCATTTTTGATAAGTTTTAGCTTACCTCAAGGGCATCCAGGTGTCTTTGTTTACACATTATTTTCAATTTTGATATTTTTCGGTCAAACCGTTGTTGTCTATCAGTCATATAATGCAGGTTTAGGGGGTCCACCCTCGGTTTACCTCAAAGAGCATAAACAGAGAAGTCAAAATTAAACATGACTTAATGACGCGTAAATGTAAGTACACACTGATGGCCTAAGACACGAAACGAGCATTTTGTGTGAGAAAACGAACAGTATTTATATCGTTTTTACCTCGTGTAACCACAGCCATGTCCAACTGATCTGACGGCACGGGAGCTTCGGTCTGCGCATGCGCCGGAAGTGATCGCTTGTGCGTGTATGTTACTCATTCTAACTTCCAAAATCTCAATGTAAACAATGAGTAACATACACGCACAAGCGATCACTTCCGGCGCATGCGCAGACCGAAGCTCCCGTGCCGTCAGATCAGTTGGACATGGCTGTTGTTGCTTGAGGTAAAAACAATATAAATACGATTCGTTTTCTCACACAAACCGGACGTTTCATGTCTTAGGCCATCAATGTGTCATTAAATCATGTTTAATTTTGATTTCTCTGTGCATGCTTTTTGAGGTGAACCGAGGGAGGACCCCCTAAACCTGCATTATATGACTGATAGACAACAACGGTTTGACCGAAAAATAGCAAAATTGATAATACTATGGAAACAAAAACACCTACATCTTGGATGCCCTTGAGGTAAGCTAAAACATATCAAAAATTTATTTCAAAGTGAACTATCCCTTTAAACCTTAAACCCAATATTGATAAAATGCCACATTGATGCCACATCAAATCAACTTTGCAGTCAAATTGTTTATCTATAATTACATATAAGACAACTATTTATGTATGTACGTTTGTATATTTATCAGGTTTTCTGGAAGAAAGACTCAAAAGTACATAGATGCTAAACTTAGATTTTAAAATAACTTCCAACAAAAGATTGGGGCAAGCCATCTGGCTCTGAGCCAACTCAAAGAGGGAAAAATTAGAAGAGGTCAGACTGACATGGATCAGGGCAGAGAAACAGTCTGTACAGCGATCAGATCCAGACGGGAGACAAGAGAAGGGTCAGACAGGCAAGAAGGGTATTAGGTGGACAACAGCTTTGGGTTCTAAGGTTAGTGGCGAGCAAAAATCATGGCTATACAGTACCACAATGGAATCAGCACCAAGGGATAATCCATGGACCAGAACCAATGATGAGTACAAGAGTCAGCACTGGGATGGGCAGTCTGTTGTGCTCTGGCGGGACTGGGAACCACAGCACTACCTGGGCAGCTGACAGTGATGTAAGAGACAAGACCAATAAACTTGACAAGACTAACGCACTGACAAAAAGCAAGGAGAGAGTAGAAACAGTTGTGAGACAATAAAAAAGGGGCATGGGGAGAACGCAAGACAGGTTTGACATGGGAGACATGAAAGACAGGGTAGACACAACAAAGGGAGTGGAGTAGCCGAAGTTGCACTGCTGCTGGACTGATGACTTTTGCAATGGTGTATATGGCCACAGATGGACCTGTGCCCCAGGACTGGACCAGCACTTCCATGCTCTGGATGAAAGTCTGAACCGAGAAAATGGCAGCTTCGGTATGGCAGTATGGGTAGAGAACAGAGGAGGTTGATAACCCAGGCAACACATGAATGGTATTTGAGTAATGGGAGGCCAGGCATTGCAGCATCCACTTCAGATCTTGCACTCTCGGTTTGGCCATTGGGCTGTTTATTGAATCAGGAGGACAGATCAAATATAGCCCAAGTTCCTGTGGTCAGTCCACACAATGAAAGGAATTGCCGAAATAGAAATGCCACTCACCAGACCTCCCTTCACACTGATGATCACTGGCTTTGACCATCACAGTAAAGACAGAAATCTTTTTTGAGACTTCATTGTTTTTCCTGCATGGGCTACAGCTTGTCATGTGGTTCTGGCGTTAAAAGAACGGAGGAGGTGCAGAGGGTTTGGACACTGCTCTTAGCTCCATGCGGCTGTCAAGACAGACGCCAAGGTCGATCAACTGTAAACCCAGAGTACTTTATAATCATATCAGGTGTCTCTCCTCACCCACCACCAGTGTGCAGCATCCACCTGGATGATGGGACGACAGCCACAGTATAATGGGGCCAGTTCTAGGTTCGAATTTACTAGTTCTGGGTTTGAAACTGGAAGGCTGGAGAGTTATTTAAGGTATCCCTTTGTTGAGGTCAGTGTCTCTCCTACACTGCATGGTTCTGATGGACCCTTACGCAGCAATATCCAGTGCATTGAATTCTTTAGAAGAAAGAATGGTTTTAGTGTGGTGGGCGGATGGGGCTTATAAGATTATGGAATGTGAAGTATATGAAACCCTCTGATTAGATTGATGTTTTCCCAAGAACAGGCCTTGATCTCCATTATTGGTTTTCCAGATTTTCCCACTCCTTTTATGCTCTGCTACTTGACTGCCAGGGGTATTTTTAGCTAATCTCTCTGACTACTTTTACATGCACATCAAAAATCTGCTTATTGCAAGAAAGCTGTTTAAGGAGTCATCTCAAACCTGCATAACTTTCTTTTGTGGAATGGCAAAGAAGATATTTTGAAGAATGTTGGTAACTCTACAGTTCCCTCTATGTGGCGAAACTCCAGAGGTGAAATGCAGTCATCTCAATAGGAATCCACACGATTGAGAATTTTATGAGGGACACTTGAAAAAAAAAAATCGGTGTGGATTTTACATTACCTTCAAGTTTATTGACCTGTTAACTATTTGGTGCGTTCACCAATATAAAGCTGCTGGATTTGGACGTGACCTCTGAGTAAGCAGTTCTTCATGCATCGCTACACTATTGACAACATTCCTTGCCTACAAAATTTTGCAGAAGTTTCGATAATGTGACCACTTTTATCTTGTGACCTCATGTTATTACATGGCTAATAAGATATTGTGTGAAAATTGACTTAAATTCCATCATTATCCTTATACAAGCTACTATAAAACTATAGCATATTAGTCATATAAACTACCTTTTTTATTGTATATTGAAGAATCAGGATCAGCCCTGCATCTATTAACAGTATGGAATGGTTAACTAAAATAAAATTCCTATTTTCTATTCTTCTACTCCTTCTCTATATGAATCCCCCATCCTTTATATCTCCCTCCTTCCCTTCTGTCCACCCCTCCTGTGTGGTGCTTATATGAAGGCACTGTATTGTTTAGACAACTTGGGAAAGCTTTATTAGAGTGCTGTGTATATCTGTAAAAAACACTTGCTCCACTGCCTCCTTTCACATGTATACATCTGCGTGTGTGTGTGTGTGTGTGTGTGTTTGAGGCACATATATCCCCCACAGGTCTTCTACAGGACTTTCCTGCCAAAGCGACTCCTCCTTTCCCCTTTTTGTACTCCCGTCTCTTTGTTCACTCACAATTTGCATGCTAATTGTCACCAGCTGGATGGCCT